CCCCAAAACCCCAAAACCCCAAAACCCCAAAACCCCTAATTTGGACTTCACCATTGTACACTAATTAATATTATTCCCAACTATGGAAACTCAAAAGGAAGAGGGTCAAGACCTTGACCGTCCTGATAAGGATAATCCATTCTCTGGGCAAAACCCTACAGAGGAAAATAAAAGGGGTTTCCCGACTGCGCCTAAAACTGTTCGGAATAAATTTGCAATGAGAAACGCACTTCGAAATGCTACACATACGCAAAACTCTAGAAACAGCGGGAAGGATTCAGCATCAGATCCCAAACTTGAGAGAGAAATTGAATCTCTCCAGAAGCAGGTACAAAAATCTCTTAATCTTTAGGCTAAAAGACGCGAGGCAGAATTTTCTAAAATAAAGGCTGTACTTGAGCAAAAACTAGAGCTGAAGGACCTCCAGCTGATCGACCTAAAGGAGAACATGGAAGGACAGAAGGATATGTACAACTCAATGCTTAAAGCACTACAGAACAAATCTGAGAACACTAGTTATGAACAACAATTGGAATCTATTAAGGAAATGCAAAGGAAACAAGATAGCGAAATCAATGAAATCAGGCAGAAATATGAAAAGCAAATCACCGATCTGAAAGAACGTATCAACATGCAGGAATTCAATGAGAAATCCCTTAAAGCACAACTCAAACAGGAGAAAGGTGATTATGAGCAGGAACTTCAGGAGAAAGAAAAGCAAGTGAATGAGTTACAACTAAAAATCCAGAAAATTACACTTGAAAAGGAGAGGAGTCTCGAAAAACTTCGTGACCAGATTGAAAATATGGAGGAGAAACATCTCAGATTCGTCAAGGATATGGAAGGCAACACTAGCTGTGATATTGAGAAACTCACACAAGATTATGAATCCAAGCTGAATGATATCAAGTATTTGAAGGACCAGGAGGTCCTCTCACTTAAAAATCAAATCAGAAAACTTGAAGAAGAGCTCTTGATTTTAAGAGAACAGGAGCAATCTTTCCAACTTAACCGTGACTCTGAATTCGAAAATGAAAACGTCAAGGTACTAGACATCAGGCTCTCTGAAATCAACGACAAATTTGCAGATGATATGCTCGCCAGCGAAAAGGAAATCGCTCGCCTTAAGAGGGAAAATGGTGAGAAAGAAACTAAAATTGAAGCTCTTCATCTTGCTATTGAGAAGCTAAAATCTCAGATGGACACAAGACTTGATGAGAAGGACCAGAAATATTCAAAGTTGAAAGACAAATTTAATGATAAATGCACAGAGCTTTTGAAAACGCAAAAGAAGATCAAAGATAACCTGAATTTAAAGAAGAGAATTTCTGATTTAAAAATGGTAAACAGCAAGCTAGAGAAAATCAAGAGAGACCTCAAGGACTCCCTCAAAATTAAGGAAAATGAGCTTGAAACTGAGCGTGCCTTTAGACAGAAAGCTGTTTATGAAGAAAGGCGTAAGAATAAAACGAAAGGAGAGAAAATGACTAAGATGCGCAAAGAAATGGATCTTCAGAACATTGAAATAGAAAGTCTCAGGAGGGAAAATAATGATACAAGTATGATGACTGAATCTAGGTTCTTTTCTCCAAGACCTATGAGACGGAAGCGAAGTGGTGATAGCTCTTTCTTGAGTCCGGAGCCTGGAGCCACCTCTTATTTAGCAAATAAAAATTTGGATTCCAGCCAATACATTAATGACAGCACTACATATTCTCGGAATGCTAGAAGATTGAAGAGCTCTTCTCCGAGTAGAACTCAGCTACTCGTCACCACTACTAAGATGAAGATTGGAGGACTAGGCAGAGGTGGCAACTCAAAGAGAATGATCCAAATTTCTGATGAGAAATCCAAGCTATATGACGATAGCCACATTCATTGTCATGGTTCAGGAAGGCATTGAGAAGCATGTAACAAAAAGAAATGGAGAATCCATCAACTTAAGTATGATCCTGACCTCCTCATGAAGAACAGGGATATGATCAAGGATGTTATTTGCCTTGGCTGCAACAAAACTTATGAGATGAAGCCATTCTTGAAACATTGCAGGGACTGTAGGCTCTCAAACCAAGTGGTCAATATCGACCCTTTTAAGTATTGGCAAAGGGACGAACTGAAAAATTCTTCGAGAGAGGAATCTGAAAACTCGAAGCAAAGGCCAAGTAGTTATAAAATGAAACTCCAGCAAAGTTGCAGTAGTAAAAGAATTAAAGGAAGAGTCATTTCCTCGCCTGTCTGAGAAAGCAGGCTCGGAAGCAGCAGAAGCCAGTCAAAGCTCAAGAGCTTCAATCCAGCTAAAGATACTCCCAAGATAGTTATGTGTGACTTAGATGAAGCAAGTGAAGATAGCCGCCATATTAATCGTAAGAAAAATTCAGATAATGAATTGGAAGTTAATGAAGACGCTAAAGCGTCTGTAGAAAACTCTAGTGTAATCATCAAGGATGACCCTTCTGAAGAGAATATAGATGATGAAATGGAGGACAAGTCCTTCACTTCAAAATTTTATGGCCCGGTTTCCAAAGGCGTGACCCAAACTGAAGCACAGAAGTTGAGAGACGAAATCACTAGCATGCGCTCTGAGTATGCACAAGTTCTCGAGCAAGTAAATAACATGAAAAATAGATATGATCAAGAAGCTGATAGTAAAAGAGACATAGAAGAATCTCTTAAGAACGAGATTAGAGCTTTAAGATCAAAGATAGACCCTGCCGAGTCTGTTGCTTTTGAACTAGAGTCAGATATTAGGTCCAACATAGGACATACTAACTTTGATTACCCTAGCAGACTCAGTAACGAGAAGCCTCTTTCAGAATACGCTGAAAGCACTGTCGAAGACTACACAATAGAACGCAAACGTAACAGAAGATATAAATAAATGTTTGCTATTAAAGGTTTGGAGTATCAATCTGGATTTGGATAAACGGGGTTTTGGGGTTTTGGGGTTTTGGGGTTTTGGGGTTTTGGGGTTTTGGGG